CATCTGTGGTATGCATCGAATACCTACTTTACTTATCTAAGTGGGCTTGAGTCCGACACGATTATTTCGGTTTGGTGCTTCATCGCACAAGGTTGGGTCGTCTGTTGTAGATGGTCTGGTGCATTATCTACAGTGAACTCAGTTCAGGGAGTCGAGAAGCGATCGTTGTTGATAGTTCATGTTAATTTTTTTAATTGTTCTGCTTAATTTCGCCTGCTATATGTCAATGCGCTAAAAGTTTTCCGCCCGAAAAAAGAATTTACCAACCACCTATGCTTATTTTGCCATTTCTCTATGGATACATAGGCCCCACCCGTAAAACCCCTATTGCCACCTGTCCCGTAAGACAGGCACCTTTGGCTGGTCGTGTGTGTGTTTGGGATCCTTCACCCGATCGTTGCCTTAACTCATCGCATCGACGAGGTTTGGTTCTGCAGCCCCACGTGGTTAGTAAAACAGTTTTGGTTAACAGAGTTAACTTGAACACCTGCTGGATTAGGAAGGGGGAGGGAAATAGCGCAAGCAGAGCTCGGAGCAAACCCAAGGAAAAGCGTGTAAAGTGATGCCTGGTGTACCCGAAAGTGACCTGTACGCACTCTCCTCCCCACACAGCCACTCACTGGATTAAGGGGATAAGGAGGGCGCAATCACAACTGGAAGGCCACGTATGGAACTAGGTGTTACTTCGCAGTGCATGGCCGCAACACCGCAACTGAAGGAGCTCCATTCCGTCAGAAAAATGCCATCAGCAAGCCTACTTAGTCCCTCGATGGATTAAGATGGACACAGGGAAGCGCGTGCGAACTGATACCCGATGTAACCGACGATGGCGTATAAGCACAGACACGCACTGGATTACAATAGCAAGGAAGGCCCAAACACGTTATGCATTTTTAGTCAACGTAATTGCATTTGCTAGAATTGTTTTCGGAAGCTAACCGTATGGTATAAAGCAAGTGGGACTGCAGGACCAAACCTCTCCAACGCCGCCTTTTATAAATAGGGCGGGAAAATTAACCGCAAAACAGGGAAGAATGAGAGAGTGAGAGAATGCAGGCATCCATAAATCTTCTGATTAGGTGGGGACATAGACGACGAATGTAATAAACGAGTTTACGAATTTTAGTGAGGAGGATTCCAATCTGAAGGGAGAGTGAGAGATATTGAGTTCACAGTAACAGCAAGGTACCAGAAAGAGGAGCCCTCGTTAGAAGGAATGTCCGAGGATCCAGGAATGTGATAAGCTCGCAGTCGGATAACACACTGGACTGATTTCTGATTGTCAAGCAGGAGAACATTTTCCAACGACCATGCAGAGACGTGATCCGAGTCATACTTCAAAAACCACAGGAATGTCTGATTTCTGAGAAGATGACGTCAGCATGCAGACAGGCATGTGACGACCTCAGATCACCAATGTGATGGGAGAAGAAATGAAAGGATATAATGGAACCTTAAAAAATCCTACAGTTATTGGGAAGAGCGATAGTTTTTAGCTTGTTGGAGTGGAAAAATTGAGTGCAGAATGTAAAATAATCATCCAGCCAAGAGACATCCAAGTCAGGAAAACTGTGCGCGGAACAGGAGTGAAGGCAGACGTGAACTTTCCTAAAGGAAGTACCACGTTCAAGTAATTTTTACCAGACATGATTACAAACTGGCCATCTACAATTCAGCCACAGAACTGAAGTTTGGCCAGATATTCTCCTATCTGTAATTCTCTCTAGTTAACACATGATGACGCTCGTTGATATTGGGTCCATACCTTAGACAATAGACACTGTCAGATTGGAAGTGAGCGTTCAATGCACACCTAAGTTGGAACTTGTCTGATGTGTCTACTGGCGTTGCAATTATGCTATCGGAGTTGCCTGAACACTCGCAAATACAGCTAAGAAGTTTAATGAAGGATCCATTCGTGACTGTCGATGCTGCGCTCGACGATAACGCAAACGTTTTGTTGGATTTGTGATATCCTGTCGAGTTAAGGAGATTTTAAGAAATATGAAAAATTCCGGCACTTTTAGTGATGTGGCACTCAGATGATGACGACTGAGGGGGGCGCTTCATGTAGATTGCAAATAATTCATTATAGTTTTAGAAGACATGGAATTTTAACTGTAAGTATTAAAAAACAGTATCGCTGGTGTCTGTCCAGCAAGAAGGGGTGGCGTGCTCTCGGGAACAATACAAATCCATGGACGTATGGATTTAGATGCCACGCATATTTCCAAGCTCACAAGAGCGAGAGTTCCTGAGTGATTATCTAACAAAACGAAGTTGTTCACTAGAACACATTTTCTCTGATGCTGGCATTTCGAAGAGCATGGTCACTTCTCCACCTTCAAGCACTTAATGTCGAATTTTAAGTGACTGGCCGAGCTAGTCGGCCTTGAACAGTCCCCTTTTTTCCTTTTTTTGCTGTCCCAGCCTTTTGGTACATGTTTTCAGAGATAGCAAAGGCTTACCAACTACAGTAGCTTCTGTAAAGAAGATGAAGACCCGATCTCTGGGACAGTAGGTTTATTAGTCTAAGCTTTCGGTCTCGTACACGAGGCCATCGTCAGAGACTGTGAGAATGCGACATCAAATGAGCGGTTTTTGTAGTCAGGC